TCCTATTTCCTCGTGATTTCCTCGAGGAACAGACGAAGAGAAGGCGGCAAACAGGAGACCACCGGGTCCACCTCGTCACTCTGTTTCAATCTCTTGCGTACTAACTTCGCGGCTATCCGCGGTACTCCACGGCGAACGTTGAACGCGAGCCTGGAATTGCCGTGGCGCCATCCCTCCTCCCCTCCTCCCCTCCTACCCTTCCACCCATCCACCTGATCGTCTTCCACCATCGAGTGGCACACACCACGGAGGCTTGGTGTGCTGCCTCCTCTGCCTCGTCCCTCCCCTATTTTTCCCTATAATTTGCTCCGCGGCTGCCTCCTTTTTTCTTTCTTTCTTTCTTTCTTTCTTTCTTTCTTTCCTTTCTTCTTTTTCCCTTTTTTTTTCATTCCGTTTTTTCGTAACCCCCCTCCTGCCCGCTCCGAGGCGCCCACCTATCCACTTATCTCTCTCTCTGTCTTTCACTTTTCTACCTCTTAAAACAGTTTTTCTTTCTCCTTTCCCTATCTAGCTTTCCCTCTCTCGCGCCTCTTCTACCTCTATCATCGCGTCTGCCTCCTTTGCCTCTACCTCTCTACGTGCCAGCCATGAATCCTTGCCGGGGCAACGGGGCTACGAGGCTACGGCGCGCCGCCCCCTTAATGGGGCTACGCGGCCTCTTTCCATTCACAGTGCAGCCATCTCTCGGCACGAATACGAATGAAACGAGTCGACAGTGCCGTACGACGTTCCATCATTTCCCTTGCGAGTGAAATTCTACCGAATTGGAATTTTTGAACAGTATTGTATTATATCATGTATCGAAATGTGTTTGCTAAAAAAGAAATAAAAAAAAAAAAAAAAAAAAAGAAAAACAAGATATTTTTCGTTACGAAAGAAGTAGGGATAGGTTTCGTGAAATGATATTTTTTTTCCTTTTTTTTTCTCTTTATCGAAACACCTGCCAGGTAGGAAATCATCGTGCGAAGGGCTGGTTTCTAAAGTGCCTAACATCGTATTGTGCTTCTTGGGCGGGACTCACGACGTATCGTATGACAGGAAGATGTCGTGGAGGAATCTGATATACGACAGGGGAATGATTCGTTATTATGTGAATTTTCAGGGGCTAGTATCGAGCCTCGAGGGATTAAAATTTATCCTTTTCCTTTCGATCTTGTCTATCCTACAAAAGATACAGATTATTAGCGAATGTTTAAAAAATTATGATTTAAAAAATTACGAAATTTGAAATCCAAGGTTGCTGTTATATTCTTTTTCCTCTCTTTCTCTTTCTTTTCTTTCTTTTTTTTTTTTTTTTTCTTTCATCAACTATTTCGTACATTCGTACAATGAACCAATACAATATTTTACAAAAATATACACAATTTTCTATGTACAATAATTACAATTGAAACGTGCAAAGGAACGTTTTCTCGCGATAAAATTATTTACAAAATTATCCTTCTCTCCTCACAGGAGACGGCGACATATTTCCCCAAATATCATACATCTATCCCCTCAAATCATAGCGTACTGTCCACCAATAGAGGGAAACGTAGAATTTTGCGCTGCTACACATCCGGGCAACGAATTCTCCTTGTTGCACTCTCTCTTGGCCCCGGAACTTTTCTTCTTCTGATTCTCGTGCGTTTTCACGTGTTTCGTCAAGTGGTCGCTCCTCATGAACCTTTTCCCGCACGTAGGGCAAGCGAACCTCTTCTCCCCCGTGTGCGTGCGTAGATGACGCTGCAACTCGTCGCTCCTCGTGAACCTCTTGCCGCAGAACAGCCAGTTGCAGACGAATGGCCGTTCGCCGGTGTGCCATCTGAGATGGGCCTTCAAATGGGACGTCTTCCCGTACACTTTACCGCATCCAGGCACGTGGCACACGTGTTGCCTCTTCCCGTCCAAGCCGAGCTGGCTTCCACCGTTCTCCGTTTGACAATTCGGACAACGGCATCTTATGCACTTCCTGCCGGATTTTCCGGGATCCTCGGTTGGGAGGAAGTGGTGATCGGCGGGCGGGGTGAGGGGCCATTGATAGGGGGGGGGGGGGGGGGCGAGTGGGGCGTCCACGAGGGGGTGTTGGGCGCGGGGCTCGTCACCGCCGTGTACGCCGGCGGCGCGAGCGGCTCCGTAATTTGGCTGGGACCCGTGGTACCAGTGGGGCACCAGTAGGCGGACTGGCTCGTCTGCAAAAGCCACCGCTAGTGGAAGTCCCGAAAGCAGAGACCGAGCCCCCGGGGGGGGGGGGGGGGCGAGTGGGGCGTCCACGAGGGGGTGTTGGGCGCGGGGCTCGTCACCGCCGTGTACGCCGGCGGCGCGAGCGGCTCCGTAATTTGGCTGGGACCCGTGGTACCAGTGGGGCACCAGTAGGCGGACTGGCTCGTCTGAAGATGATGATGATGATGATGATGATGATGATGATGACCGCTCAACGCGGTATTGTACGGTTGATAGTGAATGGGCGAACTTCCGTAATCGATTGCGGCGGATTGATGCATCGGCATTGGAAGGTTAGACACGGCAGCCATCCCCGCCATTGGAGGCATGCACATCTATAACGGGTATAAATACAATTTGAAACGAGAGATATATCGATCCCTCAAATACTGTTCAATGATTTGAACAATTGTCAGAGGCGGTCACTTTGAATGGGAATAGGAATGGGATCGTTAAGTACTCGCGAATTCGAGTCAATTCGAAATGGAAATCTTCATATATTAATAACGTTTATAATAACTTTTCGTTTTCTTTCCTCGAATTATATAAATTGAAAGAGAAAAAAAGTAAATGAATGTAAACATATGATGTTCAAGATGTATATATATATCCAATATTCGATAAAAGAAAATGAAACAATATAAAATTATTATTCACATAATATTTCGAAATTTTCTCGCGACACGATCCCATCTCTACTTTTTGAATAATAACCATTGCACATTGATTGATTGATCGAGAAGATTGATCATCACATTTGACACTGTTCTTTTACACCGCGTTTACGAAACAACTCTACATTCACACAGATTCATTGTTACGGACCTGTTGATACTGCATCACTTGTGCCATCACTTCACTTTCAATGCGGTTTCGCTCGCAAGAAGTAATTATACTCCTCTTCGGCGCGTGTCCGCGTGTATTGTCGTTGCGAAATAATTTTACAGAATTTTTCTCGTTTCACTGGTTCTACTTTAAAACTTTACGAAAGAGAGAGAAAAAAAAAAAGAAAAAGAAAAAAAAAAAGAAAAGAAAAGAAAAGAAACGAGGAACGAAAGAATACTACTCGAGAAATAGTGTGTCGCAGATCGGAGTGTGCGCGGCTCCGAGCGTTCGCCAGATAATTGCTAGTTGCCGACCGTGTCGCCTCGGTTTTAATAACCGAGTGGACAAGGAACCAAGGAAGAAGGGAGGAGGCTGAATGCTCTGCCGGGTTTCTCTATGGAGGTGGGGATAGACCCCAGTGAATCCTGTGGCCTGGCGCGCATGCGCCCTCCCCTCCACTCATAAATCAACCCTGCGTTCCGAGGATAGAGGATCGAGGCTACGCACCTTTTGTGGCCGTCCCTGGGGGCTGCCTCATGCCATCGAGGAAAGCCTTCGTCAATCCTACGGTACTCTCTCGAGGGCATCTAGTTTCACAAATCGTCGTGTAACACCGTAGGCACGTACGATCCTTCATCTCTAATCTGTACTCGTTTCGTTGCAAAATTATTTACATTAAGTCGAAAGATCCTTTCGATTTTGATTTTTATATCGAAAATTTTTCTTCCATCGAGGATTATTTTTTTTAAAAATCGTTCGCGTTCCACTCTTTTTCGCGCATTAAGTTGTTTAAATAATATTTGATTTCCAGATACAAATCAATTGGAGGGTAATAATTTTGATTTCAATCGTAAATTGTCCAACTCTTCGATCCCTTTCGACTCGTAAAAATCGTTTGAATCGCGTTCCTCGAGAATAATCAAACGAAACTTTCCTTTTTATTTTTCAGAATAGCCCGGAGAAGCGGTTAAAGTAACGTAATAATAGGTGAAAGGAGTTCGAAGTGAAAATTTTCACGGTTTATTAGGGTTTCTTTGATGCCGCTGAAAGGGGGCGGACTCAGATTTGCAAAGAGCGTATCAAAGCGTGGAGGGGCCCGCGACGAGGAAGCACGTGATAACGAGGGGGACCGAGCATCTCTTCCAAGATTCTCGGCATGCTTTTGCGGCGTACGTCCATACCATAAATCTATAAAGGATCCGAATGGAAGGGAGCGTTGTGTTCACAATGCATCGTGCCGAGCTGTGCACAAGCTGCATAAAGTGTCGGTTTATGGTGGTCGTAAAGCGATCATCGCCAGGACCAAGTGACGACACTTTTTCGCTACTGATCGCAACCAGATAGGCAGCCATTATTGCACAATGGAGTCGACAGGAGTCCGGTCCGCAGGTGGACCTCGAACAAATCTAACCTGGCGAAAGAACTAGAGAGGAACAAAACCAAGCTTGCACTTGTGCTTCTAGATAACTTTTCTAAGTAGAGACGCTTGCCCGCTGTCTTCTGTCAACGTCTCTTTCTTCTATCCTTAAATATAACACCGACCGAATCTTTATCTTCGAATCATCTTCCGATCGATGTTTACTCAGCTTTAACCCGTTTTTCGATACCATCGTTTTTTTCCAACGAAGGACGCTCTTATCGAGACACGTGTCGAAACAACGCGTTCCAAACTTGGATGCAAAAATTTATTTATCCTCTTGGCTTCATTGTTATTTTTATACGTTTATTATCAATTTCGATAAAAAGTCAGCAATGTTAAAAAACGACGCGTCGGCCGCATACCGGAAAAAGATTATCAATTTCCGGTATGCGTGCAGGAAATATTATCGTCACGTGTGCGAGGACAGAGGACGGGCCATCGATCTTCTGCAACATTTTCCAGTGATCGCAAACAGACTCATTCTCTCTCTCTCTCTCTCTCTCTCTCGAGGGGGTTTGTCGTCGTATATTTGGCAAAAGAAATGCACAGAAAAAGCGTGGAAATTGGACGGCTGTAGGGGTTGACACATGTCCGACCGAGATGCAACATTGTCCGCAAGCGAATCTTGCGGCGGTGTCGAAGCAATGGAAGAGGGAAAGAAGGTGGGGGGCACGCCCCGAGCAACCCTTTACTTTCGTCTCCTAACCCCATTGTCCCCTAATAAGCCGCTTAACATCGCGGTCAGGGGTAAATTGCTCGACCGGTAAACAGCACTCCCACGCGGGGGATCGTCCCACGAGAACGAGAATTTTTCAAAAATTTATTTCCCTCGATCGTGGCTTTTGTGTGTACGTTATTGTTCTTCTACACTTGTTTCTTACGATCGTTTTATTGGATAAAATACGCTTGTGCATATAGTGTGCGTTTTATTAATATCCTCGAAAGAATTACGCGTTCTGGAATTGCTTTCTTTTTTCTTTTTCTCTCTTTAAATCTCCCTTTTTAAATTAGAAAGAAAGCGACTGGCAACGCGGGCAACGTTCGACGGTGTGTCAAATCGGTAAACGGGACTGCGGGGGTGTAAAGTGCGCTTTGTGCGCATTCGCTCAGGGACGTTCCATGTTTCTGCGAACGAGCCGCGCGTTTTCCTCCGAGAGACATTCAGAACCGGTGGACCGATGCAAATCGGAAGAACGGAGCAGGTCAGATTTTCCACTGTCCGCAATAATAAGAAATCGCCTGCCTCTGATTTCTCGCATCCTTCTCTAAATTTATGCGCGCATGCGTTGAACGATATCCAATTTTCCATATCCATTTGCGAAGGAAAAGTCGAAAAATTAAATTCTCCAGGATTAACTGGACTTTGTTACTTCGTATATAATGATTAATCGCTTACGAGAAAAGAAAAAAAGAACTACTAGAAAGACGCTTCTCTTATTTTCAGTTTACCTCGAATCATCCGCAGCAAAGAAATTGATTTGTTGCAATAAAAAGTAATTGAAAATTGCCTCTTACGTTTCTCTCTCCTTTCACAAAATTCCTTTCCCTTCCCCCCTCTGTTTCACGAAATTCCAAGTAGCGTAGTTTATACGTTCGCATTTACACACACGATGATGTATCCCGAAGCATCATTTCCCTGATGACGGTCGAGACGTCATTAAGGGTCTCGAACCTTTTCTTCTACGGGTCAATTTTATACGCGATTTACCTGGCCGAACGAAGAAGAAGCATCATCGGGATCACTGGTCAGGTCGCTACGTCTTCTGACGGGTTTCTAACTTATGCCTCGGATCTGGAAGAAGAAAATGGTGGAGTAACAGTAAGAAGAAGGTGGGGGAGAAAAAACTAGAGGGGGAGAGAGAGAGAGAGAAGGAGAGGGCCACGTTCCCCGACAATAGACCCGACAATGGGACTAGTCTTCGGAGCTAATGGAGCGAGACTTTGCAGTTTTCACACGATGATCGGCGTAACGTGGTCGCTTCTCTGCAAGGGAAATAGGGCCCCTCGAATAGGGGATCGGATCGCACTGGCACCTTGCCACGAGATTAGGACTCAGATCTCTCCTTCTAACGTTTCGTACATCGCGCTAATCGGGTTAGGATTACAGGGTTGTAAACAAGAGATTACCAAAGATCACTTGGCACGCAAACAGATTAATACCGAGTTTACCTACCTGGTTAAATATTTGGATACAGATGCACCGTGGATTATTAACAAAGTCGAGTTATTAGCAAAGTTATTAGCAAAGTCGAGTTGAGAATTGAGTTTGAATATCAAGTTAGATGGTATCCGTGTCTAGAATAGATTCTAATAACAATTCTTTACCTGTTTAATTCTTTACCTGTTTCAGGTCGAGATGAGCAAACATTCGTGTGCTTCGTCATTAATCACTCGTCTCGAGGAGAGAAAACTATTTCGTATATATAAAGAAATAGTATTCTCCTCCCGTTCTGTTAATCATTTGTTATAGATCGTTTACAGGCGAAACACCGTTATAGATCGGTGATACCAACTTGGCTCAAAGAATTATCAAACGAGATATATATTTTTTAAGGGGACGAATTAACGAGAGAAGCGGGAGAAGGTGCGAGAACAAGAGAGGGAGAAGCGTGTACCTGTGTAAAACGTAAAAACGTGGATCCCAAGTCCATAAATTTGTTCTTGGTCTTGGACACGGAAGAATCGGAGCCGGAGGGGTCCCTTCTCGCCAATCCCCCGCTCGAACGGTGTGACACCCTCGTCACAATACGACCTGTTGCGTTTCAGATGAAGAAAGAAGAAGAAGAAAAAGAGAGAGAAAAAAAAGAGGAGAATAAGAACCGAGAATCTCAAGATATTATGGAACCCGTGAGAATATCCACAGCTCAAAGGAAGCCGTCGCATTGTCCCGCGGATTCATTACGATTGATTCGGCGTTTGTGATCGTCTCGTTGGAATCAAAGGCCAAGTTTTCCGCGCGCCATTTCACAAGTCAGGAACCTGAAAAAAAAATTCCAAGGTTAGTGGAAAATTTCGAAGCGAAGAACGAGAAAAGATCACGATAATATATATATATATGATTCAATTTAAGAAAGTTAAGTTTGCCTTTCTGTAAAGGCAATTTGAAAGAATGGATGATCTACATGATGGACAACTAATCTGATAAGAGAATGAGCCGACTGTGTATTTAACTTAAAATTAAAACCAGTGTAAGTTTCGAAAGGGAGGAATCTTGGAGAAAAGCGTTTCGAGAGAGAGAAAGAGAGAAAGCATCGCTTCTCTTCTTTCTTCTTTTTCTTCACCCTTCGTCGGCTCATCTTTCATCGATAGATTTTAATTAACAGGGAGCAAATCGTGGTTTCTCTATTATCTCAATCGTTGCCGACCGGCCGCTTTTGTTGCAAGGGTGCGGCGGGACGATAGGTCAGGATCGTCCCAAAGTTAAAAAAAAAAAAAAAAA